ACAGAGTGGGTTGGAGAATGTTGATAGGTGACCTATGCTCCATTGGGGTAACAAGCGTAAGTAAATAAGTAAGTTATTTGTATCCTGTTCATATAACTAAATTGATTACCCGTATATTCTGTTTTATAAAAAAGTGTAGACTTTTCAATTCACTTGACTATATTTACTATTCTAGAGTATATTTTTTATCAAAATATGTCATGTTAAGTATGACTTCATATATTACCGATTGCGTCTATTAAATTTTCCTAATAAATCTTAAATAATAATGAAATGAACTGATATATTTATATCCATAGATTAGGGATCAAAGGTCAGGTAAGAGCTCTCAGAAAATCAAAGATAAGATTGATAATAGTCAGGTAGTAACAATAAACAATAACTCTTTAAATACCTATAAGTTTTAATTGAATTTTCAAAGATTTATGATGACGAAGACATACGCATTTCGAAAATTGGTTACTGTGATAGTTACATAAATGATGTAGGGATCAGATGGAATTTGATTATATACTGTCAATAATCTTTGGTTCATCAAATAAGGCTTGTAATATGAACAATCCTACATAGCTAACATTTCAAGATTTATATAAGAAGATCCGTTGTATCACAAATTTGTGGTTTTCTTCGATTGTTCGATTGACATTAGCTTAGTATATGAATAACTTTTCAAATGAAATTTCGCTTCATATTAAATATAGTTGTAAAGACTGTTTTAATTTCCGAGACCAACTAAGTGTCAATTGAAGCAATTTAATACAGTATTAAAAGATAACTTTATGTATTAAAGACCTGATTCAGGTTTCATATTGCGATCATTGAAATTTTGTCTAGTTGTTCATGAGTAGTTGGCTAGCCTCTTAACTTGTCCCATCCAATAGTTAGTGTATAAATCTGCAGTGCTGATAACTTAATAAAAGTCTAAATATGGTAAACATTACTTCAAATTTATGTTCATGTATTAGGTCAAAAGTGATATGCATTATGTGAAGTTTAGGAATAATAACTACATACACAGAAAAAGAAATCATAGAACTATTTGAACTTGTAATTTATTGAGTTAGACCCTTGACCTCAATTTCATTTAATGTAAAGATGGGAAAAACTATTGCACGATTCCTACTTGCTAATTTTTTCCAGTTAGAACTAGCTTACTAAATGAATTATTCTTAAATTAATCAGAATTGTATTCAAAGAATATGTGTTATGATCATGAATATCCTACGATTTAGCCATATAAAGATGACTTCAATGAGATTTTCGAACGTTTTGGAATATTTTCAGTAGTCAAGTGTTAAGATGTTCAAAGGTAACAAAACTTTAGAGAAGAGAGTTGTAGTCTTTCCTTTGTTTTCCTGATTAATCGAACAAAATAGTATACTTAAATATCTTTAATTGATATGTATTGTACTAAATAGATAAGTACATTAGCAGACGATGAAAACGGCAATTTTCTATAAATACACAAGTTGATTACAATCAATCAATTTACTAAGTACTTCATAAGCAAAGTTACTGTTATGCTATGAGTTCGTTTTAAGAATACTTTTCAGTAGTGTGATATTTAGGTTAGGAAATGAATAGTTACCTATGTATATTTTTAATTATAACAGGAGCGATAAATCATCCACCATCAAAATTCTTCAGCAGTCAATCGATTTTGTTTTGGATTTTATTTACATTTTTAACAATATTTATGGATTACACTACTAATTATCTTTTAAACCCAGAAAATGGTAAAACAGGTAATGTTAATTTACAGAGTAATTTATCACAGCAAATTACCTAAGATAATACGTTTGTGGGGAACTCCCACTTTCCAATGTATTTAGCGCCTATATTTTTGCAGAAGTCAATTGACATTGCTGTCTTTACCGAATCTTCTTGTGATTAGAGGTAACAGCTCTATGCTAAGTTCTACAGTTAATTTAACCTCTTATAATAGTTTAGTGATCATATATCTTACGGAGCGTTCGACATATACGGACGTTAAGTGTTTGCGAAAGTTCGAAGGTCCTGGGTTCAAATCACGTGAGGGAGATCGTGGACATGCACTACTGAGGACTCCCACAATAGTATGAAACGGCCGCCCAATGCTTTCAGGTTTTCAACGGTGGTCTAACATCAATCGATTCATGATCTCAATCAAAATCTCGATATTCTCCACAACCACGTACTGATATTGGATTATGTTTATTTTTAATTATCATATGACTAGTAAACAAAATGTCTTAACCTCAAAGACTTCAATGACTGCAATCAAATGTTAATCAATACTGATCTTTTTTTATCTTGTGCTTCCTATGCCCTAAATGAAAGAATACATTTGTTTCTGGATTTGTTAGATTTAATGCCTAGTCATTTTGGAAATACTCGGAAGTTCGTTAGTGAATTTGACTAGTCTCTAGTTCACGGTGGTAATTAAATTTACAGATATGTATAAAAGTGATTGGGCTTGAAAGCGTATTCCCTACTTGAATGAGCAGTAAAAGTTCCAAGAAATATTGAGGCGAAGGATACCCTGTTAGTAATGGTAAGTTTCTTCCCAATAGTTAATCCCCTTCATTAATTCTTATAATTTAGCCTTAGGTTAATTTATGTATTGTTTAACCTGCTATTAGTATCAATATAATAGTTCTTGATGTTGTTATTACTATTTTACTGTCATATTTGACTTTATTTTTATAGAGAAAAGAGAACGTGGCACCAGCATATAATTAGTTTGTTTGCTAATTTTTTCCTTTTCATAATTCCCCTTTTCTTTTTGAAGATGATACCAGGGCACCCTTTTCATAACATTATTTAACTGTCTAAGAGGTTTAATAAAGTAAAGAGTGGGTATGAATGGATTATATATATTCGCATGCATGCTTGGAGAGAAAATGGAAGGGGTTGCCTTTTGTCAAAATAGTTTATAACGTCTCATTTTTCTGATTTTTCAGCATAATCTTGATCATATGATATTTGTTTTTATTTACAGGTCAGATGTACGTGGTTACAAAGTTCAATCCTTTAGTTATATGCATATAAATATTTTAGGAGGGGGGTATAAACGAGAGAGGAACTATATATATGTATTTATTGGGTTACAAACAAATGAATGGTGTTAAAAGATTAAAAATGAGAAAGTAGGGTGAGGGAAAAAAAAAACATGTAGCTAATCTATTCCCTGATTAATGAAAGTTTTATACATAGGATGAGGAGAAAATTTGAAAAAATGTAGTGATTAAAGGAAAGCTAGCTAGTGAACCAGCATCTTCACTTAAAGCAGAATAAGAAATTGGGCATGAATTATGAATGAAACATAAAAGTCAGAGTATTTTTGTCTACTCTTAGTTTCATAATAATAATAATAATAATAATAATAGTAATTGTTAGTTTACCAGTGTTTCATAAACCCCAGCAACTAAAATTTGAATAAATAAAGTAAGATGTGTACTCGTGTCAATTTAATCTTCTTATGGGATTGGTAGATTCATATGGGAGAGGATGAAACCAGTTGAAAGAGATGAGCAGGAAAATGTATAAATAGGCTTAAATATAGTGAATATTTACCTTTTCTTTTTTTAGAAAAAGCTCAGTGTTCGAAAGTTTATATCCACTTTCAATACAACTTTGTTTTCAAACTATTAAACTATTTCACGAGAAGTTGACAATATATATAGGTGATTCAATAACAAACAGATCACCAAGTGTTAAATAGCTAATTTAACCAAACAACTTGTCAAATTCAACTTTTCAAGTAAGTTATATATTTATATCAATGTTTTGGTTAATTCATTATGACTTTTGCTTTCCCATTACTTTTTAGTATTAAATTTTTATGACGAAGGTTCTAGGTTGATCCATAGGGTATAAACTTTCAATTAAACAAAAGCATTTTTTTTTGTAACTCCAGACTATTGATTTTTATCTGATTAATATTGATTTTTTAAAAAGAAAAACCGATAAATGTTATTTGTATGTTATATATGATTTCATGTAGTATAAGTTATTGGATTGTAAGTTGTATTTTAGCAATATGCCAATTTCCATGTTAAATTTCATGGTAACCGAGCACACAATCTATGCTCAGTTAGATGGTATTTTAATTTTAAATGGTTCCGAAGTATAGTATTTGTGGTTTATAGCACCGGCAGAAATCTGGATAGTATAGTAGAAGTGAGATGCTATGAACAGTAAGGTTTTGTACTGTTTCATATGGTCATTATTCTGTTACTAAATATTTTTTTGACAATGATGGGTATATCTGTGTGCCTAATGATAGGAACTGGGTGCTTTCACTTTTTTTTCTTGGACTTTTTGACTTAGTTATTATTTTACATTTTTTTCTCTAGAGAGAGAGGGAGGAAGATGAAATGATTATAGGGAAAATTTAATGAATATCGTCATTGATTAAATAATATAGAAAAAAGTTATTCGAGAACATTAGTGCTAATGAACCTACTTAAAATCCATCGATACTCTTAGTTATAAGTATGTTAATGAGATGAGTGAATTTTTAATTCATTTAATAAAACCGCACTTTTGAACTAATTAAGTGATACCGGAGTAATTTCTTTTACTCTCACTAAATTAATCTAGTAGCCATATATTTTAGTTAATGCAATCTATCATATATATAATAATAAGGAAATGCCTACATAGTATTTCTATTTACTTGTAATTCATTTGAAATAGATTAGATTGATGATAGGTTGGATAATCCAAAGATTCTATAAATAACAATCTTAAGTTCATTGTGAGCCAAGTGGAAACTTTCTCACAAACGATAAGAGGAAACATGTTATTTTAGAATGTAAGTTTTTTTAATCGTAATTCAGGCATTTCATTATAAATCATCTTTTAATGGTCTAAACTGTTGACACTTAACTAATAGAGTATAATTCCAAACTTGGCTCCATATACACTTGGAAGAACCAATTGATATGAAAATCTGTAACTAATAGCAGAACATATATCATTATACATTGATTACATTGATTATGTAACAAATAATGCTTCGTATTCCGCCAGATGATTTGTATACTGTACTATGGGCCAATTTCTTGAAATATACAATCATTTTTAATTCATTATCCCTTGTAGATAGTTCTTTATTGGGAGGTTAAGATTTCATCATGATCAATTTTGTAAACAACTCATTTCTAAATATTTTCGAATAACATATAGGGCAGTTCATTAATGCATTTGTTGATTATGTATTTAAAACAATATAAAGAATAATTATAATTACAATGAATGCATTCCCGTATTTTTTGTTTTGTTTTTAGAAACATTTAATAGAAAAGGATTAAGATGGAAAGTTATTCAGAAGATGAAAGAAATTTTCAAACTCCTGAATATCTAAAACCCAAATTTAATGGTTTAGAAGGAAAATACATTCATTCTACACCATTATCTCAATCTAATCCTTATCCAGTATTTCATTCAATGTTATCAGGTTTTACAGGATATAAAGATATATTAACAGATGAAAAAACAACACCTCTTTATATACCATTATCAGATGAAGGATATTCATCAGTTGGATCTGGTTCAACTCCAACTGGTTTCTCAAATAATTTACCGACATCTGAATTAATAAATCAATATAAAGATTATGGATCTGTTGAATGTATTCATAATTCTATTAATCAAAAAGAAAAACTAGAAATTGTTGCATTGGAATTGTTAAATCAAGCTCGTCTAATTCCAAATTATTCTTGTCATAGACATTTACATAATAGAAATAATTTAGGAATAAATGAAGTGAATGATAAATCACAATTATCATATTATAAAGAATTGAATGATAAATATCATTCATTATTACAATCTAATATAAAATATGGAAATTATAATTATCCATCTATGATTAATCAAAATAATGAATGTATTAATTTAAGTCAACAAGATTTAAATTGTACAAAATTATTATCTTCAATTAATATAAACAATTTACAATATCAAAATAATAAACAATCTTTCAATGATCAATTGAATTATTCAAAACTATTTGAAAAGATTAATAAAACTATTAAAAATGATAATAATATAGATACTGATCAATCAATTGAAAGTCGTAATCAAATATGTAATCAAATTCTGAATCAAGTTCGTCGTGAAATGATTCGACTTATTGATAATAGTATGCATCAATTAGAAATATATTTACAAAATTATCATTATAAAGATTGGTATAATTCATCAACAATATTAAATTATTGTAATTCAATGAAATCTGTACAATTAGATGGTGTACAAGATTGTAATGTGACACCACTTAATTTAAAATTTACAAAAAATAATAATGATATAGGATTGGAAAATATTAACAATAATCAATCTAATCAGAATAAATCAAATGAAGTAGAGTTTATTCCAAATGATATTGTATCATCTGAACAAAAATCTGCTAATTCAAAGTGTACAATCATAACATCAAAAGAATCATCCACTTATTCAACAAGAATAAAACCATTACGTTATACTACTACTACTACTACTAATAATAATAATAACAATAATAATAATAATAATAAAACACGTCGATTAAGAATTCATCAATTTAATAGTCAATTATTTGTTGATAGAAATCAAACAAGAAAATTAAATAAATTATCACCAAGTTGTAATAAACGTCGGTTAAATAATGATATAGAAGAATTTCCAAATAAAATTCCTCATTTAGATGAATCATTAGATTTAAGAATGCATCAAAATGACCACGAAGACAATAATGATAATAATAAAACAGATCAAATTATTTCATCACATAATCATTCAAGTAATTGTTCTCAGACACGTTTGAAAAGATCATTAATTAATAGTCAAACTAAAGTAAGTTGATGAAAAATACTGATTTACTATTGAACTAAGTAATAATAAAACGAATTAATTTGAGGCTTCTCATTTATGTCAGGATTTATATATATAATTTTTTATTTTATAGTCTACATTATAAACTAAGAAGTTATTAGGAACTTGAAAGGACTTGGCAGATTTTTCATCCTAGTTTGATATTTACCAGTTCTGTACATTCACAATCCTGTCAAGGATAGAAACCAAGACCTTCAGGCTTTAGAGTGAAATAATCAGATAGTTATGTATGTATTTATTGAGATTTCGGTAGCTTGTAAAAGATTCACAAAGCAAACTGAATATCGAATAGGTGTAACACATTTTAGATCATTTCAGATACATAGTAAATATTAATAGATTTCTAAGATACTAAGAAGAACAAGGTTTCCAGAATACTATTAATTTCTCGTAACTCACCGAATCTTGTTTTAGTTACATACATGCCATTTAACTCGATGAAACTAAAAAACTTCATTATTCTTGTTTCATTTAGATCGAATAAAGCAAATACGATAAATATATTCTTTTGTTTACTTCTTTAGACAGCAACATTGAGTGCAGCTCATTTGAAAAAGGCTAAAATGATGTTCATGTATTCCCGTTACCCAACATCAAGTCTATTGAAGTCATATTTTCCAGAAGTTTGTTTTAATCGTGGATCTACTGCACAGTTGGTAAAATGGTTTAGTAACTTCCGGTAAGCTTTTATACAAAAAATATCTTAATCGTAAATATCTATACATGAATGCACAACACCTCCGATTGTACATTGTTCATATCATCGAATTCACTGTTCTCTAACATCAGTTGGAGGATGGAGAAAAAGAGGAAAGAACATAGTCGAATCGGTCTGCACAATGTGGGTGAGATTTAATCGTTCCTCAAGTTGCATGTATAAATGTCTTGTTCATATTTTGCTTTCGTATGTATCTCTTTGTGCACGCTATTTCGTTATTTGTGTAGATGTTAACTATTAATTCAGTATGTGTTATATGTATAAAGAAACGAAGATAATTATTTGTGTGCGTGGTTTACGTTTTATTTTTCTATAACTATATGTAATAGGAATTTGGAAGAATTAACATGCACATAGTAGATAATATGAGTTTTTATACCACAATAGTAGCATGTAATGCAACTCAACTAGAAAACACATAATCAAGTTTCATCATTTTCACTCAGTAAATAAATTTTTTAGAAAATGAACATTCCTTTGCTAATACACTACGGCCTATGGTTTCCTTTCAATTTGAAAAGTGTATAGTTTAAGTTAGTAAACATATTTCTAACTGGAGAAATGGACATTTCACCAGATTTATGTTACCAAGCATAATGATATCTAAGATTTTCTATAGGACTACTTTAATACATATTTATCAGTATAATGTACTATACCTTGTAAATTAACCAAATGATGATTTATTCATCTAAATCTTTAATCTATCTCCCCTTTTCCTCATTATTTTGTGTGTAGAGAGTTTTTTTACATACAGATCGAAAAATTTGTTCGTCAACAAAAAGCAAACGGTTTAAAGAAAGCAGATGATATTAGACTATCACGTGAACATGAATTAATACGTAGCATGGAAATACATTTTAATAAAGGTGACGAAATTGAAGTAAGTTTTAAAATCATTTTACGTTTTTGTAGTTTAAAGTATTATATGATACTAACTGTTAATGCAATCTTGTACTATAGATTATAATACCCTATCCTCATAGTTTTGTAAACAATTAATTTACTGAAGCATGCCATCTAAAAATTGAATTTAGTCAAACATTAAAGAGCTATTTCGTTTGTGTAACAATGTCTAATATAAATACTATAATTATCAGTATGGAGTCGTGAAGGTTATTAAGTTTTTGATTGAGACCATGAATCGATTGATGTTAGACCACCATTACAAACCTGGAGGCCCTGGATGGCCGTTTTGTCCTAGTATGGGACTCCCCAGCAGTGTATATCCACGACTCTGTTCACGAGATTCGAACCAAGGGCCTACACCACTGAGCTGGCCGGCATCCAACAGTGTTGATATGTAGCCTCAACCAATCTACGAACTTGAGGGACCATCTTCGATTGTACTGAGATAGATGTCTGTCTCTACGTGACACAGATTAGCTCCATTGGTCACGGCTTCTCACTAGAAGTCCGAGAATTCTCTAACTGAGCTGATCACTAGTGAGCATATGTAATTATTTGTAAAATGAAATGAAACATTCCCATTCATTTATGAATCATATCTTTTTAAGTGTATAAGATGTACTTTTGTTCGCTTGGCCATTAAATTCATTGTTACATTGATAAACTAAGGAACAACTAAATAACATTAATTGAAGTAATATCTATTATTATTATTATTGTTACAGACTCCGAAAGAATTTCTTGAAGCTATTCAAATTACAGTATGGGAATTCGCTGATGCAATTTTAAATGAACGTGATGTTAATTCATCATGGAAAAAAACTATTTATAAAAAGATTTCTATATTAGATATACAATTTCCAGAATTTTTTAAATGTTAATTGTATTTGTTTAATATTTAGATATGATAATTTATTTATATGTAAAAACATTTTCTCAACTTCTAATCTATTCTTTCATTGCTTATTTCATTTTTCTATCCATATTTTTCTCTCATATTATCTCTTTATTATTTAAGTAGTATGATTTCCTTTCTTATTAATTTACTTATTTAGTTCATTGTAGACATAGAATTTTAGTTATAATATATAATCATAATACCAAATATTGCTATTAATGTATACGTCACAAACAATATAATAATAATAATTAGTATCATTACTGTATACCCAATCTTTTTTTAATTATTTGGTTATGTGTTATTGTCGTATTATATTCTATGAAACGAAATAACTAGATCATACCCGAATAAAATACAGATGAAAGTACATTTAGTGTTACTGTTATTGATTCATAAAATTACTTACTAAATTATTACAGATATTATGTTGTGATTGTTATTATGAATCAATATTTACAACTTAAGAAAGTATATAAAAGTCATTTAGCTTGTTTAATGATTTGAAAATATTGTACATTTTAATGTGAATTGGGAACGTAGTATGAATCAATTCTAGATCAACACATCACCTTTTAATTTCATATCTATATTCGGATCATTAACAATTGATATCGTAACCTAGGTTCCCATTTGACGTAAGAACAGAGGGAAATTTAAAGATATAGGGATTAAGTCTCTATTTATAATAGAAATATACCTGAAATGTGAAACGATGACGATACGTAGCCGAACTATGAATATTTTTGTGACAACTTGGTTTTCACAAGTGATCCTCAACAATTCGTTCTATATAAAATGTTTAAATAAAATATGCTGAGTCAGTGATGTGAATTATGCTGATTACGGCATATTACTTTGGGGAAACTCATATTCCCCGGTAGGCACAAGTTTACTTCATTTGTCAAGTTTCCCCATAATGTTAGTATTTGGCAACTTTAAAGCCGACCGATTACTTTTTAAAACTAAACCATAGGTGATAAATAGGGTGGATTGCAGTTTTTAAAAGAAATATGGTATTAAAAGCACAGTGAGTGAAGGGAATCACGTCGTCTATTTCTCGAGAGTTTCCACCAACGACCTAACAATGAACTCATTTGTCGTTTATAGAGAGTCTGTGCAATACGCAATAGTTTGTTTGCGATTTTAAGGTTTGTCTGCCATCTTTTAAATGTTCGATCAGATGTATTATGTTCCTGAATACAAAATACAATGAATGTTGCCATGAGTAACATTATCATGTATGATGAATATGTATCCATCCGACCAATATATTTTGAAATATAAGTACATATGTTCGTATCTGGTCGACCGGATGGACTTTCGTCTTTCAGAACATTGACAACAGATATTTATTTCATTATATCATAATACCCGTACTTTACTTATGAAAATTCTGATTGTAGCATCACTGACAATGTATTTGTTAAACCATTCAGTAATTTGGGAGTTTAGGTACAAAACATTAATGACTGTTAATAAACATAAAGCCTACAACTTGAAGCCTACAGCTTACTAATACTTGAAGATTGTCTACCGATAATTAATATCAAATGTAATCCACTAAGGTATCATAATACTTAGTTTAATAATTTCAATCGTAACTAACTGTTAGCGTTTTGTTTATCTATCTATAAGCGAATATATATATATATACAATAGGCTTTAGAGTAAAATGTCTGAAAGAACTTTCTAAATAATCTTGATGTTTTGATGGATGGTGGTTTGGAATTCGAAGGAGAATGTGTTCACTTCCACTACTGTTAGGAAGGATGACATTAACGAATTCCCCATATGAAGGGAAAGTACATCTTACTAATCAATATTTATCACCATCATCAAGACTTCCTATATATAATAAGGTTTGAAAGCTTATATATAGTGAGTTTAACCTTCGAAATTCTTAACATAGAATGCTACATCAGAAAAATAAAAACATTACTCAGTGCTGATGACACAACTTTTCGTTTGAAATGAGGCACATAGATATAGATTTGTAATTATATTCACCATAATTTGCAACATCGAGATGTAAATTTTGATTAGAGAATCAAAAGAAAGTCAGTAACCTCAGTAAATTCCCTATATTATTGGTAACATCATTAGTAACGACGAGTAAAAGTTAGTTTGTTTTCTACGTCGTATTCAGGATACTGAACACATCGAATTGTTGACATCGTGTTCCTGTGCATGGCCATTTATCAGTTAAATAGACATAAACTGGCAGAAATTGAATGAATAAGTAAACTATTAGATAGAGAATTATTTTCATAATTATAAACACTTGTCTCCAGAACAAATTTATTTACTGTTGATAGATAATCCAATCTAAGATGAATAGGGAAGGAAAATGGTGGAGTTGGGATTTTGGTTTTGTAAAGCTTACTTTTTCAACTACATTTGTCATTGTTAATCGTAATAATCATTGAATCACCTGACTGTGTTTCGAATGATCCAGTTCATTCGATTATTACCTGTACTAAAAAATGGAACATCACCAATTAGATTAGACTAATCCTCTTAAAGTTTCCTTAAAAACATTCTTTCATAAACTGTTAAAATCAAAATGTTATTTTAATAAAAACATATTTTTCAACAAACGCGATATCTTTTGAATATTAAGGAGTTCAATTGTTTGTATGTCAGTTTTAATCCTTGCATTAAAATATCTCATTCTTCATGGTCACATAATAAAAGTGTATCTCAGGGTATCATGAAAAGTCTGTCTAATGTTTATTGATCTTGTAGTAGACGTGAAATTATAAAAATTAAGTTCAGAAAGCATCTCTAGTAATCTTCGACTTTCGTAAGTAATTATTAATCCTCTTATACATTACATTGTTTCGTTAAAACTATTTTGCGTGTAAACTTTCCATATATTTTGTATATTGATTCATCATGAGCATATTGATTTGCTCATTGTTGGGATATCTAGTTAACATTTTTATTATTCTGAAACAGTATTTTAATCACAATACATCGAAGCTCTGTAATGATATCACTAACTCATACAGGCATTGATGTTAGTATTGGGGAGTTGAATACGATGGTATTTGAAGAGTTCAACACACATGAAGTTGATATAATAGGATTAAATTGTAAAATTACATTCTTTTACTCACTGTAATTTTTATTCAATATTACTTCGGTTTTTAATTCAATATGTTAATTACTCAATAGAATATTCGTTTTATTTTTAATGTGATATTTTATTCAAGATATAATATTCATTATATTAATTTATTATGAACCATGTTCCGTATGACTGGTTATTACTCTGATCATTTTTCATATATGTGACTTCTTTACTATTTATTAATTGAAATGAGTATATAATCAATATATAAATGAGTGTATTTTCGACTAAATTCATCGTATTTTTGGGGTTCATTCTTATCAGTCTTGGTATTCTTATTTCGATTCATGGGAATTGCAGTGATTTCTGGTTTACTTTCTTTTCAAGTATAAGTAATAAACGGTGTAAATATAACACAAGCTTTTAATTCATTATACTTATATATTTCACATATATCCTACTGATTGTGAACAAAAAGCAGACGATACTTAACTGGGTGGAATAGTATATTTCTTAGTGATAAAAATAAGTAAATACACTGGTACATGTACCCAGTAGGTATAATATAAATAGCATTCATACTTAACCAGGTACTTTGGTCTATTTTGAAAAACACTGATGAAGTAATTCATCATTCAATATTCAAAAGAAATATGAACATACTTAAAAACTTTTTTGGTAAGCAATGATCTATAGTGGCTAGCAGTGAAATCCAGGACTCTCGTTTCGTCCTTTATTATCTACAGACTAACTAAGTCAGAAACCAATTTCAAGGAAACAATCTAAAAACAAAATTCTTACTTATTTGTAGTTGATTTTTATCACTTAATCAATTAACTTATCGATTCAGTGTTAGATAGTGAATGAAATTCTTTTTTTCTAATTTAAAGCGAAATACAATTCGAATGTTAAATATGAGTGAAAATTAAATTGTATTACCATAGTGACAAGGTCAAACAGATAGTGCAACTGACGAGTTGTCTCATTTTATAAATGAAATTTAAAAAAAAGTATAACATATATTGTTTAATGAAACAGTGGCATAAACTAACTTAAAGTGAATTATTTTAAAACGAAACCAGGCACAGTAAATGTAAATTTGTAAAGGATAAGCTTATAGATACTATCCTAATGGATAAGAATAATAATATTGATTCAGAAATTCATGAAGCGAAATCAGTTGCTCAAAATGAATTCTTATACGGTTGGATTGAAGATAATAATCTTCTGCTAACAGAAGAAGATATTAGAGCCGTGTTTTTAGAAGGTTACGGTAAGATAATGCTATCAGTAAAGTAGTCAATTAGTTTTCGTGAAATTTTTTATTCATTTTCACTGTATCTTATATTATGGAATGATACTAGATGGAGAAACACTGCATACACGTGATTCGTCATTTTATGTTGTAGAGTACGACCATGGCCTTCTAACTTATTGTTCATAGAACAATCAATTTTATCGACGAATTGTTTATGATTAAAAAGTTGTGTTCAGTTTTACAGTCGACTAAGTTAACTTCACGGATCATAGCTTTCAGAGGAGTTTTTAATGATTACTCAGCTCTCATCAATTTATGCAGCATATTGACTTCAAAATATGCCAATTGTTTTTTCTCTCAGTCTACTTGTTATATAACTAAACGTTCTTTTATTTACTATTTAATGCATTTGCAATGATACTACTGAAAACGATCTGTTGTTTAATTATTTACTCGAAAATTCCTATCATAGTAAAAATCACAGATATCTTAACCAAGAATACTCTTTTCAATAAATTCTCTTTAGGTTCCACAACTATATATTTAAATTAATAATCTCGAAGTGGCCGAGTTTACGATAAATTCATCATTTAAAGTTACTGATTATGAATTTATGACTGTTGGTGAAATAGATTTCCTAATGCAGGAA